TTCTTAGTATAGAACATATGGCTTATATCTAGTAACTTCAACTACAAAACTGTGGGACCGAGCTGCCAATCTAGTACTGCTTTTAAATTCGCAAATTTGAGATATCAAAGAGGAAACCTCACCAGAACATTTACCATGGAACTATTTATAGAAAATCGCAAGGGAGTTACGTTAAGGCGCTGGGTTAAATCTATTTCTCATGGTTAGTCATTTTGGAAAGGAAAATTTAGAGTTTAAGTAATCACTGATGTTCATTTTTCGCAACTTGTGGCAGAAGCCATTTTGTTTTGAGTTTACGAATTTTACTGAAGTTTTTCGACTGTTTGCAGACGTGAGGAAGATTTGTGCCGAATTCAAATTCCAGTCGAGGTCCTACCGTTCACTTTCACGCAAATCCTGTATAGATTTTAATCCCTCTTTTCTCTCTCCAGCAATGTGTTAAATAGCAAGGTTGATTGCGCAGTATTGCCTTCAGGTGGCAACCAGTCTAGAATCTCTGAAATCTGAACAGGCTGAAGAGGGATAGTCTCCGTTCGCTTATATTGATATAGACATATCACTGCCGTTAAAATAACCCAGTTCATAAAAAACTTGACGCAACATAAAAAAAAAACACTTACTATTTAGAGTCCTCTTCCGATTCCTAAAAACAATAACTTCATTCTGTGCAATATCATAAGTGTTGTTTTTTTTTTCACTGCGTAATCTAATTCGTGACATACGATACCTGGCCAAAGGCTTAATCTGAATTGGTTTTTAAATCGAAAACCCTTGATTTAGCTATTAAACATTTGTATGTGCTTACATTTTTGTTCAGGGATTGTTTTCCTTTCATGAAATAACGTGCTGATTTTCTACGTAAGCTATAATAAGTCGGATGACTCAACACCGCCGCCTCATCACCATGCATATTTCTTAGATCGGCTTTGAATCGTCGGAATTTTGAATCTCTGGCTGTTTGTCTTGATGATTTATTAGCTACAACAGCTTATTTGGTTGATTAGTTTTACTTTTCAAACTTTTCATCACACCGGAAATCAAAATTCTTAGTCAAGGAGGAAAAGAGAAATTTGTACACGAAGATCATTTACTTGTATTTGATAAGTTTAGTAAAATATACAGTAACATAAAAAATTGGTATTGTGACCAAGACTCTAAATGACTAAAGCTTTTTAAATTAAAAATAAAGCCATGTTTTAAAAGATGATCTTAAATGAATTATTTTCATTCGGTTTTAAAAAGTTATCTGTTAAAAATGATTCTTATTAAATTACTCCTGTTTGATTTTTTAAAAAGTCGATGAAAGTTCTTCATAGTTTGCATGTCGTTGAGTCGGCGGTGTTGACTTGACATTAATGAGTAATCTTGCGCCCATAATAAATGTATCTACAGGAATGGCTTTAAAAGGTTTTTGCCATAAAAGAACCGAATTGTGTTAAACTTAAATCAACTGTTCAATATTTGAATTATACCATTGAAAGAGGATAATCAAAATAATGAATAGGAGATATATGTCTTAGTTGAATATTTCCGTTGCAACACAGATTCATTGCCATAAAATTGTTAATCACTCCTTGGATGTTATGAAACACCTCAAAAACATCGATTGTTACTGCTTAAGATAAAGTGCAAACAACCGAAAAAGCCGTCTTGACAAAATTCGTTAATATTCACCTGCCGTAGAGAAAATTTCTTACAGGCCATTTAACACTTAAACGGCGGGTAAAGCTTACTCGATTGTGCTTATCAAGCGGGTAAAAGCGAGAATATATTTTTTATATAAAGGTTAATCGTTTTAGCTTATACCCGTTTTGAAATATATGACAAACATTTTTAAAAATGCTATTTTAAAATCTTTTACATTATCATTTTTTTTCAGTGATGTTCCAACCATTGAATTATATTTCTTCAGAGAAATTAGAACAATTTAACTTATTTTTTTTTATTTTTATATTTATCAATTTATTATTTTGTTTTTAATTTTAGTTTTCACCCGCTGAAGTTTTACGTTCCCCACGTTGTTTTAGTATTAATTAAATCTAGTTTAACGGTAGCAGCACGTCTTTTATTATTTCCTCTCGGATACAATAATGGCCACTTGAGATAGTGTTTAATGGCATTTCTCTGCCCATTTATTGTAATTCAGAGGACAGAATAAAAGAAATTCTACAACTGTTAAAACTCCTGCTGGATTCACGATATTCATTCTGCTTTCTTTAATGATTTCAGACTCAGGAACATGGGAATGGTTGAGTTGACTACATCCACTTAGTAGAATAAATTGATGCTCTCTACTCTGCAATGAATTCTTGGCTACATTTGCCTAAGCAAGGAATGGTTTCATATCCATATGAGGATTTTCTTCTACTAGAAATCTACTAGAACAGGCAATAAACTTAAATAACCACTCGTAGGAGATTCAATGCGTTTTCGCTTACGTTCAACTGTAATAGAATAAAACTGCTTAATACTGAAAAACGGAATATCACGCCATTATACACTATTTACATTATTCGGACTATTGTTCTCATCTTTGTTGGCATATTTATCCCAATGTTTTGGCCGTTGTATGTTTAAATGTCGAACTGAACCCTTTATTTCGCTTACTGGGATAGACTGTTCTAGTTCTACGTGCCATGTCTAATGGATGTCCGTTATCAGTTATCTCCTCCAAGCCCTCCACCGCCTTAACCAGGTATTGAACTCACACTTTTTGGGTCCTGTCACTAACTAATGCCTTTATCTACTGTGCCATGTGTCCTTGAAGACATCTGCGTATGAATTTCTGGGTATTATAAACCTAATGTCTTCAACGATCATTTTTTTACCAGTGCTCATATTGTAATTTTTGCTGTTGTCATTGCATGATAACATTGCATGATAACATTGCAATATGAGTACTTGTAAAAAATGATTGCTGAAGATATTAGGTTTATAATATCCCGAAATTCATACACAGATGTCCTGTTCACAATAAGAAGTTGCTTGAGTAGATCTTACATCTCACCAATGGAATGAAAGAAAAGAAATAAAGCCAATATTAAGTTCTTAAATGTCATAATTTTTAAGACTATTATGAATCATGAAGCATTTCAGGTACAATGGACGTGCGCAGTCTTTGTATAAAGTGGTCACCATTTTACGCCTTTTTTCTCTTTGAGGACTTAACATGCAGATATTGTATTTAAAGATATGTTTAGTGGTACAAAACTTTAGCACTGCCATAAACAGACAAAAATTAATTTTATTATTACCACTCATGATGATAATAAAAAGTAAAACTGATAAACGGGCTAGCTAACCGGTTTCGAACCTCGCTCAACAGAGCTAAATCGAGGTTAATAAAGTAAATTATTTAAAAAGAAAAATGGACAAAGTGTATTGGGAAAAAACAGGTCTTCCATTGAAGAACATATAATAAATAGCCATAATTGTAATGTTAGATGCGGACTCATTTACCATCCTTAGCAGGTCCCACTCTAATTACCACCTAAAAATGTTGGATGCCATCTATATTCTATCGTTGAAGCCTTCTTTGTGTGAACAGAAGGATTTCGAATAGGCCTTTAACTAATTACCATCTAATCACCCCCAATACACTTTGTCCATTTTTCTTTTTAAATAATTTACTTTATTAATCTCTATTTAGCTCTGTCGAGCGAGGTATGATAATGGTTAGCTAGCCCATTTTTTATTTTTACTTTTTATTATCATCATGAGTGGTAATAGTAAAATTAATTTTGTCTGTTTGTAGCAGTTATAGATATTGTATTGCCATAGACATTTTTTTATTTAACGTAATTTTTCAAACAAAACTAACTTCATGATTCCTAGAAAATAATAACTTCGTGAATCTTAGACTTCTTGCCAGCCAATCATTTAGCTTCGATTCATGTATAAATAAAATGTGAAAAGTTTATCTCGTCAATTGATAATATACGCTTTTCCCCAATGAAACATCTGCTGATTCCCACAGTTTAAGGGTTAAGCAATCTTCACCTTGTGACGTAAGTGTGAAATAATTGGATCGCTTTATAAGATTTCGAAAATCAGTATCGCATTTTATTTCTAAATTTAGGAACCAAGACAAATACTTGCCTAAAATAAATATCGATTTTAAAAACTTTAAACTGGTTACGAAGAAGAATGAGAATTAACGCATCGAACATCCTTAGATGATCTGACGGTAAAACTGTGGAGTAAAAACAAAGGAAGATATGTTATGTATCTGCCTATATTTCTGAGCGGAGGTATTATGTACATTATTTAAATTATTCGGACTATTCTCATCATCTTTGTCGCCATATTTGTTACAATGTTTCGGCCGCTGTACGCTCCGGCTTTCTTCAGGTAGTTGGAAAGTCGAACTGAACCATTTATTTCGCTCACTGGGGTAAACTGTTTTAGTTCCACGTGCCATGTCTAATGGATGTAAGTTATCAGTTATTTTCTGTTAATTCCCCCTCTCCAAGTTCTTCACCGCCTTAACCAGGTGACACATGGCACAGTGGATATAGGCGTTAGTTAGATTCCGTGACAGGACCGAAAGAGTGTTAGTTCAATACCTGGTTAAGGCGGTGGAGAACTTGGATTGGGGAATTAACAGGAGATAACTGATAACTTACATCCATTAGACATGGCACGTGGAACTAGAACAGTCTACCCCAGTGAGCGAAATAAAGGGTTCAGTTCGACATTTCAACCACCTGAAGAAGGCCGGAGCGTACAACGGCCGAAAGGTTGCAATAAATATGGCGACAAAGATGAGGACAATAGTCCGAATAGTGTAGGATGTGTTATATATCATTTTAAATAATAAACTTTCCAATATATGTGTTTAGTAGCTGCAGACGATGAGACGGTAAAGAAAGAAAGATTTAACTTAAGAAAGAGGGAAAAAAAACAAGAAGACTAGATACGATTGATGAAAAATAAAAGTGATATGAATGAGAGTAGGGGAAAAAGAACTGAAGAAAAAAATTAAAGTAGGAAAAACAATCTTAGAAAAGGAAAAAAGAAAAGAAAATTAAAAAAGACGTAAGTAAAAATAAAAGGAAAGAAGAAAAATAAAAGGAATGAAGAAAAATAAAAGGAAAGAAGAAAGAAGAAAAATAAAAGGAATGAAGAAAAATAAAATAAAAGAATTGAAGCTGAAAAAGAAAGAAAGATGAAAAGATGAGAACAACGAAAAAATAAAAAGATAAGAATGATGGAAGAATAGAGAAAAGAAAAAGAGTTGAAATATAAACAAAACAATTTTTTTAAAAATCAACAAGAAAAAATGAAGGAAGAGAAAAAAAATGGAAAAAAGCAAACAATGAATATCAAAGACTAGCAGTATAACCCGTCCTTGACTGACTCTTTCATTACTGGGAATTTTTGCCGTTTAATTGGAACAGTTTAAGTTTAAAGTCAGCCCACCCGAAAATAAATATTAGTAACAACATTTGGGTGCAACTGAGGCATATCCCCAAATGGAGGGTTAAAAATTTGAAGTGGGGGGGGGGCTGAAAAGGGAACTGTATAATAATAAATATAATTGTAATAATTTCAACTATTTATTTTTATTAAAATTTTTATGAAAGATATATATCGAAGTACAGATAATAAACAGTAAAACGTAGCTGAGAGTTATAATGGACAGGAAGTAGTGGAGAGCCATTGTCGCCAAAAATTTGGACTCAATACTGGCACTGAAGAATTATCTATCAAACAAAAAAATTTCATTACAATCGGAGGAAAACTGTGGGAATGCATAAAGAAGATCCGATCACGCACACACACATACATACACACACATTTTGAGAATTATAGATATAGATAGAATGAGATGAGAAAAAAGAGCAAGAAATACAAGTAAAAATTAACAGAAATGAAATAAAATAAAAAGTTGAAACAAAAAAAAAAAAAACGGTAGAAAAATTAGAAAGAAAAAAGGGAAATAAAAAAAGCAGAATTGATGTCTTCATCGTTTCTTAACAAAAACAAAACAAGTTTAAATCTGAGAATCATAGATGTAAGATGTGCTCTTCTCCTTGTGGAATTTTACCACACGAGCAGATCTCAAACCAAATGCGTGCACATTGCTCAAATTACAAGTGCATCTCATCATGATACCCCGATATTTGAGTAGTTTTAGATGAACACGTAGAAACAATTTACTCTCAATGCATCTTTCCAAAATTTTCTAAAATTTGAAACTTTTACACTTATTGAAAATATAAAAGTTGATTTTTCACATTTCGTCTCATGGAAATTTGCTTTTTGTGCATTTTTATAGATCACTTCGACTTGCAGAATTTGCAGTCCTCCTCCGGTCGCTTGCTTTCAATTCGCAACACCATATTAGTTTTGTAACTAAGTAATATTAAGAATACAATTTTTTTAATCTTTAGATCAGAGCTTCTCAACCATTTTTGCATCATCGCTCACTATTACATTGTAAAATTTTCCACCACCCACCTGTATAGTAAATATTCAAAAGCATACCAAAATTGTTTCGTAAATGTTTGTGACTGGTTCGTAAACTAATTTTATGATGTCGCAAAAATTACCAAAGAGAGGCAACAGATAAGCTGACTTATGCAATGGCTGCTGCTGCTACTACTGTATTAAAAACATAACGATCATTGAAAATCATATATATAATTTAGTTTTACTGTCAAGGTTAGGTTTATGATAAGGGTTAGCGTTGCAAGTATTGACAAAATATTAAACGATTTTGCTTTATAGTTATAAAATTAGAAATAATACACACTACTAGGAACTAATAAATTTAGGGAATATTTTTTGTTGTTCTTCGTCTTCCCTTACCAGCTTTATATCCAAAAATAATGTTATTTCGTCTGAAGAATTATTTGAATGTTAATGATCCTTCTGAAAATTATGGAAAATATTAAAATATTCCTTGTTTTTGGATATATTTATTTCTTATCTTGAAATATAAACCATTTATTCCCATTTAGCCTCACGTTTTTATCCATTTGTTTTGCATATCTTTAAATATTTTTTCAGGTGGCATATGTTGAAATAACTTTTTATACCCAAAATCCTATATCGCCCACAAAAGTTTTCACTCCTTTACGACTTCCTGTTCAGTTGCTCATCGCCCACCCAATAGATGAAAACGGCCACCGGTGGGCAATATCACCCTGGCAGGGAAACCCTTTTTATATGTAGCATTTCTTGTTCTATTTTATTATTGTTGCCTTTGTTTGCACCCCGCTGGTTCAATGCACTCTTTGACCTCTTGAGTAATGTCTACAGATCGGAAATAGCTTCTAACAACAAAAAAAAAAAAAAAATCCGGTACCTCTTTTATTATCGGCAGCGTACTCGAGATAAATTCATGAAAAATGTTTTCTCCGACAGTGTTTGAAATTGCATCTCCTTTTGTAGGAGGAAACGATCTATTCAAACTGGGATATTCACTAAAAATAACATATCTGGGATTAAAAAATAATGAGACTCGTGTATGAGGCATTTAAATAAAAACATCATCCATATCCGATAATTACTAGTTTAAATATAGTATTTTTGAATTCCGAATTATTTTTGGTTTACACCACTGTTGTTATAACGCTAATTAAATTGCATTCCGTAATAGAGTGTATCTACATAGTGCTATGATAAAAAAATTTGATGTACTACTACTACTACTACTACTACTACTAATAATAATAATAATAATAACAACAACAACAATGATAAAAACGTTGGTGCTTTACCATGTATAGTTCCCATGGATCTTAAATTTGATTGGAGGTATCAACCTGTATATGTATATTAGTCAGTTAATATGTGTTGTAACTGAGTTATCAAAACAACATGAAAAAGCCAGAATTGGTTTAACAACAGTTTTATTACCTCTTAGTAAAGGGGAATATAATATAGAATAGAAACTAGGGAAGAGAATGTTTAATCGTGAATAACTGTTTTCCGTAAAGCCTAATTCTGCTACTACTACTCCTGCTACTCCTCTTGATGTCGGACTATTTTTATGTCTTTTATCTGACGGCTAAATCCGAACTTGTTGGGAAATATTCTCCCGCGCAACAATATGGTCTATAGTAAGCATCCTGTTCAGTGCCACATATTTGCTTGCTAGTTGCTTGACCATAACCATGTAGCAATGTCCTCTTGAGACTGGCGCACTGTGCATCTCCTCTTCTTAGGTAAGAGTTGTCGAAAACATTAGGACCAGTTGTCAAGAGGTTTTGCTTAAGGATGACTTAGTCAAGACGATTTGGAAGTCACGACTTAATACTTATGAACGCTTTCATTCGGAGACCGTCTGAACAAACTGTGTTACTCAACCGGAAGGTATTTCTAACTGGGCCGCCCATGCAAGGTTATGTAGTACTTTCATCAAAACCAGTCGCCAAATTACGCATATGTGTCTCTTTTGGATTTGTACTTATTATACCATAAGTGGATTAAGCGTCGTTTTTTTTTTTTTTTTACTGCGGCATTAACTTGCTGATATGTTACTCAACGAGACCAACAATAATAATGATAATAATAAAAAATATTTTATTTGAAAACCTAAAATATATATTAGCAGTATATTTTTCTTTTATTAAAAGAAAGAAATATATTGCTAATATATATTTTACTTTTTCAAATAAAACATTTTTTTATTATTATTATTCCAGTGAGCGGTTTGGTTCGCAGTAAATTCTTTTTATGTATCAAGGAACAATTACGGTGAGGAGTTTAAGGAACAAGAGAAAGATATAAAGGTGATACAAAAGAAAGAAAGAAAGAAAGAAAGAAAGAAAATGAGGGAAAATGAGAAGAAAAAAGAGAATGAGAAAAGAAAACAGAAAATGTGCAAAAAAACCCGCAAGGTATTTGGTGAAAAGAAAAAAAAGAAAGAGAGAAAGAAAGAAAGAAAAAAAGAAAGAAGGTACGAACGAAAGTGGAAAAGACGCAGAAGCAAAAGAAAGGAAAACTCATATACAAGAAAGAAGAAATGAGGGAAAGAAAAGACAATGAAAAATATAAAATGTAAGAAAGAAAATAATATGAGGAAATTAAGAGAAAGAAAAAAGAAAGAAAGAAATGTGGAATGTACGATATAAAAAGGAAATAAATAAAGACAGATGGTGAGGCTTGCTTGGAAAGAAAGAAAGAAAGAAAGAAAGAAAGAAAGAAAGAAAGAAAGAAAGAAAGAAATATGGTATTTTGGGTATGTATTATATAAAAATTAAGGAAAGAAGGAAAAACGAGAAAGGAAATGTAAAAAGAAAGAAAGAAAGAAAGAAAGGAAGGAATAAAGAAAGAAAGAAAGAAAGAAAGAAAGAAAGAAACAATATGAGATATATAGAAAAGTAAGTAACGAAGATAGGAACGAAGGCGTAAAGGAAGGAATATGAAAAATGTAGAGTAAATAAGGAAGGAATGTGAGGTGAATGAAGAAGAAAAAAGAAAGAAAGAATGAATGAATGAATGTGAGACTTGTAAGAAAAAAAAGAAAGGGGAATATGAGATCTAGAAAGAAAGAAAGAAAGAAATAAAGAAAGAAAGAAAGAAAATAATATGAGGAATATAGAGTAAACAATGAAAGCAGGAAGAAAATTGAGGTGAATAAAGAAGGAAAAAGAAAGAAAGAATGAATGAATTTGAGGCTTGCAGAAAAATAAGGAAAGAGGAAGATTAGTTATAAACAGAAAGAAAGAAAAAGACAGAAAGAATGCGAAGTATATGAGAAAATAAATAAAGAAAAATTCTGAGGCGTGCGAAGGAAAGAAACAAAGGATGAAAGAATGATAAAAATAAAGTGAGCCTTCCTGAAAATAAAATTAAAAAAAAATGACAGAAAAACTGGTGAAGTGTGAGAAAGAAAAAAAGAAAGGAAAGTAAGAAAGAAAGAAAAAAGAAAATAAGAAAAAAAAAAGAAGAAATATGAGATATAAAAAGTAAGGAAAGAAAGAGAGTAACAGAAATAAAGAACGCGAAAGAAAGGGTATGATATAGAAAAGTAAAATGAAGAAAAAGAAAAGAAACGCTCAACCAAAGACAGTTAACAAAAGAAAACCAGCGATGTATCAATTCGGATAGAAGGAAGTAAAATAAAACGAGAGAAACTATAATTAAAATTAAAACTCTGCAGGAAAAAAATTATAAAGAAAAATAGGAAGAACAAAATAAATTAAAACACCAACAATAATTAGATTAACTCGTGGATTCAGGGCGAACAGACGAGAATTAGAAAAAATAAAAATAAAACAATAGTAAAATAGATCACATAGAGGAAGGGAATAGAATTGAACACCGACAAAATAAATTATTTTTAAAAAGGGAAACTATAATAATAATAATAATAATAATAATAATACGATTCCCGAAACGTCAGCACACACATCAAATGTTTTCTGAAAATTATTTTGTCGACCTTTGGGACGTTTTATTTTGTTTTCATTTATGCTTGTTGCTATTTCATTCGTTTCGTTCAGGCAAAAGTGCTTCAAATTATTCACTGCTTGCAATAAGATTACTGCTTTTCCCACATTAAGTGCACCAGTCATAAAATGACACTTAAAATTCTGATTACAATCAATGGACAGGAAGTGCAACCCTCCCTTGAGGTTCTACTAACCTGACCTTTGCTTAGGTCAATAAATATCTATTTTACCTTCAATAATGGCTTGAATACAGCGATTGGCATTGCTTCTATATTAAACATCTTTTGGTTTCTCTTCAGCACAAGATGACCTTAAAATTTAAGGGAAATTGGTAAAAATATCAGTGTGACCTAACAAATACCAAAAACTTTATTATAGTCACAAACCTTTGTGAATTTAATTATGCAAGAAAATGTCCCGATTCGATGATAAGACAAGTCTTGATTCTTCAATGCATAAAATTTTATTCACATTTTATTTCGTCAGTTAATCTCAGCCAGTCTGTAGTAAGAGAAGAGCATTGGGCGCCTGTTGCCAGATACGTGAACCATACTGTTAAGGGGTCCACCCCTTTTTATACAAGTCGACTCGCCCAGTGTGTACTTGTACTGCTGCCGGTGAATACCCGAGAGTGATACAGTGAGAGGGGGAGAGAGAGTGAGAGGTTACCGCTTATAGGAGTCACAGTTGCGAGCACGTAGACTCAGAAGGAAGTCATACTTCGATACTGAATTTCCCAGACTGTATATATATATTATTATTGCTATTAACCGCATTTCTGGATCTACTAACCGTATTACCAATTGTATTATTACGTCAATACATTTATTTGCTATATTTAATTCCTGCGTTTGTCATTCATTTGAGACCGGATTTCATCCCGGAATCCACAACACATATATTATCCGGTTACGTTGTGTCAGACTCTCCCGAAATCATCTTTGGGGATGTTCAGTGTATATAGAGTTCTGGCCAGCATTCTCATTTCAACGCCGAATGCAGGTGCGAGGTCACGTATTTCTGCATTCAGTGGTTAGGACTTAACCTCGGCCAACCCACTGGTGCACCAGACTCCTCTGATGTCTCGAAGCCGAGACTATTCTGGCAAAGTACCACATTAGAATATGAAGGTGTGTTTCAATATTCTGTTCCTGATCAAATTGCCCCCCCAAATTCTATTTGGTCAGATGTTAGGAACTTGGTAGGTATGGTAATAAAATAAACAATTCCCATCTCCCCTCTCGCTTGTAACCGTCCATCAAAATAAAATAAAAGTTTTTCAGCGCTAAATTTGAATTGGTAAAATAAAGCTTCATAAGGAGCACTTCTACTTAGGAGCACATCGATGTGGTGCAATGCTTAGCAAATTTGTCAACATCAGTTACGATTGAAAAGTGAGTTAGATCCTCACTGGGTGTCCCCCCAAAAAAATGGCCTTGTGTCATATCAAAGCTACGCTCAGAAAATCATTAGGGCACTTCAGTGTGGTTAAATGGTTAGCAAGCTTGTCTCGCTAAATAAATCACGACGGAATAGAAAGTTCGATCCTAGCTGGGTGCTCCCAAACTTTCGCCCTAGTGTCACATTTGAGGTCCGCTTAGAAAAATCATTTAGCGCAAGTCAACGTGGCGAAATGGCTAGCAAGCTTACCTCGCTAGATCAATGATGACTGAATAGTGAGTTCGATCCTCATTGGGCACCCCCAATCCTTCGACCTTGTGCCCGATTCTAAGCTACGTTTAGAAAATCATTTAGGGCACTTCAACGTGCGGAAATGGTTAGCAAGCTCTTTCGCTAAATCAATAATAAGTGAATAGTGAATTTGATCCTCAGTGAGTGCTCCGAAACTTTCTGCCTTGTGCCACCTCTGAGCTTCGCTTAGAAAATCACCATAAGCTTCTAATTAGAGTTGCTACTATATTACAGCCAGGTTGTGAATTTTCACCCCACTCAAAAAAAAAAAAAAAACAGTCTGTCGACATAAGCATGAAATGATTATGTGTGCTTGAAATCAGTTTCCTTTTGATAATTTAAATCAATCTGTTTTCTCAAGGGTGTTCTTGACAAAAGTGCGACAGGGAATCCTTAACTGCAAAGGAAGAAATCTAGCGATGCATAAGGCGTTACACTCGACCGATATATCGACAGGTTGTTTGTTAAAAGAAGGAGGGAAAATCATCTTCATGGATTGCGTCGACTCCGCAATCAGGGAACTCAAAGATTACACAAGACAGGGCCAGGAACATTTTCATTTAGTAATCAAAAATTACACGACAACGAACCGAATACTGAGCAGAAACCAGAGAAAGACAAAAAGATAAAAAACGGAAGGAAGTTAATATAGGAACTTCAGAAGACTAAACAATTGAGCGGCAGGTAAATCGTCATGGCTACGTACGGAAACCACATGTGAGGAAATGAGTCGCTCTTAGAAATACAAAACAACGCCATAACTACAAATGATAGAGAAGGAATACAAACATCTGTTTATATTTCAGAATATTTCTGAGATGAAGAATTTTAACTATTTACTGTCTTTGCCTGTTGTTCCCATCATAACTGTCATATTCAGAAAGTTTCGGCCGTTGTACGCTCCGGCCTTGCTCAGGTAATATACATTTGAATTTCGAACCGAAAACTTTATTTAATCCACGAGAGTAAATCCTTCTTTCATGTGTCATATCTGCACAGGAGACAGCGCTTGGATTGAGGAATCTGATTCATTACTTTCTTTACGTGCTAAAATCCTTAGGAAAGGTATGAATCTTATTCTTCTCCCCCTAACTATGGGTAAATAGCAAGACACACTCTGTTCTACAAGCATTTCTAGGTCTTTCTAGAAGAAAGTAAATCTGAATTCAAAACTTTTTGTAGCCCTGGCGTAGCACATACTATACAGTTAAAGAAAGGATCGTTCAATTGGCTGATTATCCCGACTACGGTCGACCTCGATAATCTTAGTTTTAATTCCCTTTAGTAACTTCACTCTATTTCTGACATGACAACAGCTCCTACAAACTGGGATACAAGAGGATAACAACACTCAGAAAACAGCCTAGGTTTTTCTACCCTATCTGAAGATATTATCGGAATAATACAAAAGATCTGTGGCTCATATAACATCAGGACTACCTTCAGAAGTAGTTCAACACTACGTAGACACCACTACCGAAAAAAGCCCTTCCTAAAAGAGAACATAATTAAGGACTGTGTGTAAGTTAACTTAGATAAATCGCAAAAGAGCAAGTGTAGAAATAAAGACGAGACAGTCAAGCATACGATCAATAATTATGACCGCTAGGAAATGTGCAACCGCTTGTATCTTCGTCATGCAAGTCAACGTTATATGCACTGACCATAAGTACTTGTAGACAGATAAACCCATGAATCCCTTGGGAGATTGAAATTTATATATATATATATATATATATATATATATATATTGTCGAGGAACCCAGGCTGCAATTGTATAACCACACCTTCCCTCTATACCCGCACCCCCTCTCTGCAAATGTCTGCCTGCGTCCCCGTTTGCATGCATCATTCGTTGGTATACTAGGCTGTTCCCCGCCCTCATCTTTTTTACGGTATGTACTTCGCAAGTGTTTGGTTATTCCTAATTAAGGAATTCCATCGATAAAAAACTTCTTGTGTGGTGGTTGCTCGGGGTTAAATTGTTTCAATGCTTTAGATATTCAGTAAATTTCTTACGGCCGTAATCATTTTCAAATAGTATCGCATTGTTCACAAATCTAATAATCAAACAAAAACAGGGATGAAGCTTGATTCAACTGCTAGTGCATATGTATGGACGCCCGCCTCCTTCGCACTTTTACTGTAAATCTGGAGTTAATAAATTGTTCTTAGGGATTTTTTCCCTTTTAACGCTTCAATAATCCTTCTCAAACAATCTTTGCATCAAAGATTGTTCAAATGCCAATTTAGGATGAAAAATCAGAAACGATTGGCTAACTGGCAAAAAATGATTTGGACCTAGTTTCTCGCACATTTCGTCCACTTAACTGAAATAATCTTAAACAAACATTCACGCAAGATAATTTGTGTGTCATGTAATTTACATTGCAAATTTAGAAAGAATCAGATGAAAAACCAGTCAGTTATGTCCGAAAAAAGGGCTTTTTGAACAGTTTATCGTGGTTTTTTGTTATACGCGGGGAAGCGAGCAGAACTGAAGCCACACTATCTTATTTTTTGTATGATTGAAAAATTTTTGCGTTATGTTTGAAGAATATAGGATAAAAAATGAGGAAGTTATTCTAGTTTTTATTCTAAGTAGTACGAGAAACCCGATTTTTGTGTGAAGCCAAATATCGCAAGAAAACTATCAAGCACTCTACATAAACCTCGTAATATGAGTGATATTTTGCATTGTGCAAAGAACATCGACTCATCCAGTAAAAATTTGGTTCGCGTGTAACTTTGCCTTAGTCTTTTTCGAAAAGTAGTACCTACTTTTAGTTTTATCGATTTTTCTGCCAAACCTGGACTGGGGGTCTGGAGATTGAAAACGTGTTCTTGACCTAACGATATAAATTTGCAATATGTGTGTAAAATTGCATTGAAACCGATTGAAAAATGTGAA